CCCTCCCTCCCTCCTTCCCTCCCTCCCTCCCTCCCTTCCTCCCTCCCTAGTCACCTGCCTGTTTCCCATCGTCCGTCCCTCCTTCTCCTTCTCCTTCTCCTTCTCCTCACTCGCCCCCTGTCCCCCCCTCACTCGCCCCCGGCCGCGCTCTCCGCAGTTGGCTACACCACCATGGCTCGTTCCCTGGCTCCGGAGCAGGTGATGGCCTTACTGCACTCCCTGTTCAGCCGCTATGACGACCTGCTGGCGCCCCTCAACGTATACAAGGTGGAGACCATCGGCGATGCATGTAAGCGATTGAGTGACACGGACGCGCTCTGGTAATGGAGTGCGTTTTTTATTTATTGCTCGGCGGGTGTGGAGGATGGGGTGGGTGGGCGGCCAAGTACCTGCGGGGCCGGGGCCTGGCGGGCTCCATCTCTTCGGCACATCCTCCGAAAAGCTGGGAACACCCAGTTTAAAAGCATCCGTTTAATCCTGCATCCACAACATCTGCATTTGGGTTTGCTCTTCATGATCAGTTCTCCTCCTTCCCCCCATCCTGGTCTCTGCGTCATTCGCCAGTGGTTCGTCTTCCCCCCCTCCTGCAGTACTATCTCTGCGCTCCCCCTCGACTCCTTTCCTGTTCCGCTTGCCCCCGCTGCTGATCTCGTCCCTCTGGTCCCTCCCATGTTTGCGTCGTTGCAGACATGGCCGCCACGGGGTTGCTGAACGACAGTCCCTCCAGCGCCGCGGACATGGTGAAGTTCGGTGTGGCCATGATTCGCGCGGCTGCGTGTGTCCGCGACCCCGTCAGTGGTCAGCCTCTCCGCATTCGCGTGGGCATTAACAGCGGGCCCGTCGTCAGCGGCATTGTGGGGGCGTGTCGTGCCCGGTACTGCCTCTTTGGTGCGTTCGGGGGGTTAAGGGTGAGGGGGGGGTAAGGGGAGTGAGGAAGGGGCTGAACGGGGGCGTAAGGGGGCGCGCGAGATGGGCAAGTGGGTAGGTGGTGCAGTAGCGGGGGACGGTGTGGCGGCAGAGGGGTTACTACCGGCTGGGGCCGGCTAGGGAGTGGCAGAGTGCAGAGGCCGCGTGGGGGAAGAGGGGCGCAAAGAGGGGAAAGGGCTTTTTGCTCATGTCTATCGGCCGTCGGCCCTCCTCGCCGCATTACACGGGGAGATGTGTATATGCGATTTTGCTAGTTCCTGTCATGTACGCTCTGCCTCGTTTGAAACAGGCCTCGTCCTCCCCCTTCCCGCTTCCCTCCTTCCCGAACACGGGGCTGCTATCGCGTCCTCCCCTTACTTTCTCCCCTAGGCGATACCGTCAACACGGCCAGCCGCATGGAAAGCACCGGTGTACCGGGGGCTATTCAGGTGGGTGGTAGTGGGGTATGGGGTGGAGGTCTGTGCGAACCTGGTGCAGTGTGCGCGCCTGGTGTGAAGCGAGCCATGCCCCCTCACTGCAAACGGACTTCCTTTTGACTTCCTTGGCCACACCGCTCTCCTTCCCCCTCCCCCCCTCCAGTTAAAACGAGAGGTAAAAGAGAATTATATATGAATCACATGAGACGAGAAAGAAGTGGTGAAATCAAACGAATTCCGGTCCACGTTCACTTGTTTGGGTCTCTGCAAGATGAAACCGGGGATTGCAGCACACGTCATAGGGGCCCGACAGTCCTTCCTGCTTGCGGCCAGCAACCCACGACCGACATCTTTCCCCCACCTCCTGCCGCTTCCTGATCATGCGCACTGAAACAATCCCTGCCTCTGTCTCTCGTTCCCTCGCGGCCTCTTCCCGTGCCCTCGCGTGTGTATACGGCACGTACGGCAGATTTCTGAGGACACGTACACGGCCTTGCCGGAGTCCAGTCGGCAGGCATGGACGTGCCGTGGCGAGGTGGAGGTGAAGGGTAAGGGGCTGCTCCGCACCTACCTGCTGAAGCCGGGAGACACCGACGACGTGGGGCTGGCAATAGGAAATGGAGTGGCACGGTGATGGCTGGAAGGCCGCACCAAGTTGCCATGAACCACCCGTCCCTCGGCCCTGAACCAAAGCCCTGAACCACCTACGCCAGCAGCAGCGCGTAGGGAAGGCAAGAGAAGAGGAGAAGCGGGATCCGCAGGTGGAGGAGAAGTTCAGTCTGGGCGAATGGATGACAGCACCAAGGAAGAATGCCATGCCTTGTCGAAGACGGGGGGTTGCCCGGAACAAGCACGCACACACGCACGCAGTGTGTGTATATTTTTTTTTGCCTCCCCAATGGTTGCAGCTCATCCCCCTATTGTCGCAGCTCTGGTCGCTCCGGCTGCTCTTACAGCTCGGTCAGTGCGGCACCAACCAACCAGGTCTCCAAGGTCTCGTGCGACAGGTTCAGGCATTGCGGCAGTCGTGCTCCTCCCGTAGAATAATTGCAGCAGCAGCAGCAGCGGCAGCATCCGCCCCGCCACAAAGTTTCAACAGGAGCAGCAAAAGAGCGGCCGTAGCAGCATCATGTACTGCCAGAGCATGATTATAGCGCAACCGCAGCCGTGATGCGCCATTCGCGCAGTCTTGCCAGTGGACGGTGCGACTTTTGAGGCTCTGGGCGGGGCGGGAAGGGAGGGAAGGGGAGGGCGAGAAAGCCCAGGTGGCGGCTCCCTGGACAACCAGCCTGTTGGTTGGTGGGCACCACCTGCCCTCGAGTGAGGGGAGCCGCCCCGAAAACTGGTGCTGGGACGAGATCCTGGTGATGGGGGAGTTGGAGGAAGTGATGCCCAGGAAAGGTAGCTTAGCTGGAATGGCATAGGTCCGCCAGCTCGCTGTGGTATTATCTATGCCGTTATTGGCACCCATTAGACCGGGTGGACGGCGAATCAGTGCATTCATGCAGAAGTACAAAGGAGTGGTGGGAGGGCAGTGGTGGGAGGGCAGTGGGGGGAGGGTAGTGGGGGGAGGGTAGTGGGGGGCGAAAATTGGTGACGTGGAGCGACGCATGAGGGAGCAGGACGCGGAAAGCAACGGAGCGCAGGCGCGATGTGAACGGCACGGAAAGTCCGTAACCGCGCCCGTCGCGTCACGCGGGGGCTCCCTGCCTTTCCCAAGTTTTGATCGGGGAGCGCTTTGATCGGGCAGGCGTGAAAGAGAGCCAACGATACATACCTGACGACGATATTGAAGATTATTTCTAATTTAAAAGTGGCATGTCCTGTGCTTCTGGCTGCGGTTTGTTGTAGGTTTGTGGGTTGAATCTAAGGCTTCCACCAGCATGGAATTTTCTGGGGGATGTAAGGGCCACGGCGGATCTGGGTGTGCGACGCCAGGCGCGGCCGGTTTCTCGGCACCATGCCAGCAGTCACTAGACCTGCATTGCTGTTGCTTGGTGATTGGCGTCTTCGAAGGTGTGTACATAAGCCCAGCCATATTCTGGAGGAAGAGAAGAGATTGACCAAAGGCGCACCCTGTATCGCACCTTCATTTGAATTGAACGATAGGGATTCTTGTTTAGAAGCAAAGCGAAGCAGGCCCAGCGCACAATCTCTGTTGGTTGGCTGCGGGTGGCAAAGTATGGATTGGGTTTAAGCCATTCCTTTCGTCCTGATCGGTCGCACGTCGGCTTTCTTTGCGGCGGTGCTATGATTTGTTGTTGAAAGCGGCTGTGCTATCCCGACTGGTGAGGTTTTATATTTTATGATGATCTCAAGATCCCTCAATTTTAGACGCGCTGAGGGAAAAAAGCTTATGAACAGTTTTGCCGAGGGGATATTTGCCTGCTTAAGATGCGCTTATGTGCCTCCTTGAACCCGTACGTAGTTCAGGTTCATGAGACTGTTAATTTGGGTTTATGAATTGGAAAGCATTTGAAAGATTGGAGTCGTTTCGGTGCTCCTGGCGCGAGAGAGCAGTCCTGGCGCGAGAGTCTGTTAGCAAGGTCCGTCGTCGGAGGACGAGATGTGTGATCGAGCACCGCCAGCCGCGCGCCGCGTAGGGAACTGTCGAGTGTCACGCAAACGGTTGAAAACGAAAACATGAGTCGCTCGGCTGCGGTAGTGATGTTGCTCTGTTTAACGCGCCACATTCCCCTGGTTGGGTAGTCTTCTTCCCCTCTGCTCTCGGCTGCTATGGCTGCTGCTGTTGCCCTTGGTGCGCGCGCACAGCAGATTGCGTGCGCGCTGTCTGCTGGCGTAATGGCAAGGCGTAAGCGGCCAGGGCATTTGGACATACACGCTTTGACCTCCCTCCTCCCGCGCCGCATCGGCCGGCGACTGTCTTAAGGATCAATATCGCCCAGGAGCGGTCAATCCACGACGCTTTTCCCGCGACCAAAAGTTGAGCTGTGGGCTACTGTTGTGTTGTTGCTCTGTCCTCGAAAGGGGCACCTAGACCTGGCTAGATGAATTAAAGGGATAGCGTGTGGGCTACTGTCCGTGCCGTGTCGCTGCCTAGCGAATTTTGACACGAAGTCCTGCTCACCAGCATGTTGGGTCGTATGTTGTAGATTTAGTGGACGAGTCGGGTTGGTACAGCGCCGGGATGCGCCATGTGTGTGCGTGTGTATGTGTGCTGTGTTTGTCGAGGAAGCGCTGCATATTGCTCTGGAAATAATGGCTGTATGGTCTTTGGCGGTTCATTGGGTCGTTGTGTGGTTCTGTGGTGTGGGTTGCCCTCTTAGCGATGGCTTTGCGGCGTCGTGCGGCACCTGCATGCCATGCTGGTTCCCTAGCATGACAATGGCGGACCATCCCGAACACCTCTAAACTCTCCAAAATCGTTTCCATCTTTCCCCTTCCAGGGCTAGGCAGCAGGCAACACACTTGTCCCTGGCCTGCCCTGTGCTTCTGACTGCATGTTTTCTTTCCTTTCCTTTCCATGGTATTATCACCGACCTCGCCGTTCCATCTGCCGTCCTTTTCCTTTTCGCCGCGTGTTACTGAAACGATGCCCGTGTGGAATGTGACTGATTTATTGGTTATACTCTTAACGATCCGACGCGCCACCTATCGCTGTGGGTCGCTGCGGCGGTTTTTCGCTGCGTTGCACGCGGCTGCACACGGTTGAACAGCTACTTCTGGATCCCTTTCCGGGCTCCCTCTTCACGTTCCCTTCCACGTTGCTTTGAAATCCCGGCGGCAGCTGTCAATGGCAGCCAATCAACAGGCCCGCACGGTTATGAGGGGCGTGTTTCGCTGGTCGTTTTGCTGCTCCTTGGCCCAGAAATGCGTCCAGAATAGCACCGGCATGCCTGCCTGCCCAGGTGACTGGCTGCGCGTCTCATTATGTATGTATGTATGTATGTATGTCCGTTCTTAATGGTGCGAACGATCTGAGTACCGTAGCGATGGCGTGCGCGTGCTTGTTTTTGCACAAAACTTTAGTTGTTGGTAGCGGCAGTGATGATGCCGGTTGCTTACGCTCGTAAGGTTCAGATGACGTTTTGCATTCAGATGCGAAATCTGTCAGTTGCAGTTGCTGATTGTTTCTTAGAGTCGCTGTTAAAGGACCTTAGTATCGATAGGCTACCTGCTTGGTGCCTTTAGGGTTGTGGTTACTCTGTTGGTTTGCTGATGATGCGACTGGACGCGGCAGTTGAATTATGTTATATAGTATTCCACCTAAGATGTGGGTAATAGAGGCTGTTCAGATGCTGCCTAGGTGCATATGGTGGTGGATGGTGTTAGTGAGCTGTACGCGGAAGGTAATAAGTGCGAGCACATTCGCTGTCAAAGCTTGTGTGAAAGCTTCTTCCCTTCGCCCGTTCACGTTTTTCGCATGGATGCGTTTGGAGGCGCCACCGCGGCGAGATGTTGGCTGCTGTCGCAGTGCGCTGCGGTGCGGTGATCAATAAACTTTGACCGCACCGCCCTGACTGCCACAACACGTTGCTTCGGTCCGTCCTGCATGCCGCAGCTGACTGACGGTCAGTTTGGGCAGCTGTTGAGCCAGTCGTCAGCTTTGGTTGGTGGTCAAGCACGGGAGACTCTAGAGGGTAGTCAGCAGCTTCTTCGAAGCCGAAAAGGCCTCGGCCCCGGTGCAGCCAGTCGGCCCCCACAGTATTCCGCAAGGGCGCAAGTCAGTGCGAGGACGTGTGCGTTAGGTAGCTGGATGAATGGATGCATTAGGTGAATGGTAGTGCGCTCGGTGTTGAGGTAGTGCCAACTATAAAGAGCGGAAACTCAGGATAGCCGCCCTTCCAGTTCCAAGAGCCGAGCGCGCCACAAAAGTACGAATTGACGTACGCGATACTTTCCAGCAACGCAATATATGTCCTTTGTAACAATAGGTCGCTTTCCCTCGCAGTACGGAGGGGTCCTGCTCCTGCTATACTCCTACGTCCACGCCAGGCGTCGAGAAGGCACGGACGAGAACGAAGTCAGTGAGCACTGCCGGTCGACCGGGGGCGCAAAAACAAACACTCTGAAACACAGACTATTCGCCGAACCGCGAACATCTCTCAAGGCGACGCGTTTTTGATCCGGAGCAGGAGCAAGAGGAGGAGGAGGAGCGATGCGCAACAGGCGTTTTCTTTATGGGCCTTAAACCTTATTATTCGAACATTTGCCCTAGCCGTCCTCTCGCCGTACAGGACGCTCTCGGAGCCGGCATCTCGCCATTGCGGCCTAGATGCCACGTAAGGGCCGGGGGCGGGCGGGGAAAAAGCCTATAGCCGTGTGTAACCATCATGTCATGCCGCCTTCCACCACACTCGCCTCACCCACGAAGTACCCCTTCTACCGCACACACACACACCTACTACATACACTACCACGGCGGACGCTGGTCATCCTGCAGGAGGAGGCGAGAGAGACTACCGACCTCGGCAACGCTCGGGATGCACCCGGAGTCCTTTCGGACCCGCATTGAAAAGAAATGCATGATCAAAAAGACCGGGGGTTGCGAAGAGCACTTGCAGGCGTTCAACCAACAAACTCAAGTCGCCATGACGCGGTGACGGGAATACACCGCCCCGCACCGGTACTACTGCATACCGGTACTATGTGCAATCTCTTCCTTGCACCATTTCTTTTTGCCTCAATATTTTTTGCAGTACTCGTAGTGGTTCAACGATACCATTTTTGTAATTACTGCCGGCCATTGCACCGGGGTTGCGGCCTCGAAAAAATCACGATAGCACGCAATTGATGTGATAGCAAAAAATGGTTGTGATGTAAGGCCCGGCATGCTAGTGGATCACAACAGCAGCACAGCTGGTCAAGATGCAGGTAGCCGGCAGAGGATGCACCACCTAAAAGAACATAAAAACAAACGCCTAAATAGTCGCTCCACTCCGATCGCGTCGGAAACTGCCACACCCCTACGTAAACCATTGACGACAAAATGCAATGTAAGACAAAAGAACTTCAAAAAACACTTTTGACTCTGACTCTTGCCAATCGATCACTGCTCACCTCCTCATTCTGCCTTCATAAGGCCTCGTGTCCCCCTCCTCTCTTCTAACTGTCTCTCCCAACCGTTGGCACCCAGTCACTCCCATTGGCTCCCTCCCGCTCACTGCCGTGGGGCCAACCGCAACCGCATCCTCCACAGTCTCCCCCCATACACCGTGAAGATTAAATACACTAGCTACAGCCATAATGATGACGATGACGATGATTATAATGGCGACGACGGTGAACCCGGTAAAATATCCGAAGTACACCCTACTCGGAGGCAACCGCAGCCGCAGCACTGCACTGCACCACACTCCTCCCACGTTCATTCCCACTACCACTCACGCAGCTGCTACAGCAATGGCAACCGCTCCTCCAGCCCCCTCCCCGACCCCCTCTTCGCCCTTGGCGCTCCCCCATACTCCAAATCTCCCCCGAGGCCGTTCACCACCTCTAGCCGCGGTCCGGGTCCTAGGGACCCTGACCCCCCCACCCCCGCCTTCACCCCCGCCCCTACAGAGCTCCGATCCCGCCCCGAGCCACCACAGTCCCCGCTCGGGCCCCCCTCTTCCCCAGGCCCTCCCGCGGGCGGGCGGTACACGAAGGCGGGGCCCAGCAGCGCCGCCACGGGCGCAGGTACCCAGGAGGGCGGGTTTTTGTGGGCCAGGTGCGAGTAGGTGAAGACACCGGCTGTCGTCATGCCGTACCCCACCAACCCAAGCTGAGTGACTGGATCCGAGAACACGGCCACTGCTGCGGCGGCCGCCACCACCTGTAGCAGTGGGGGCGGTGGTGGTGGTGAGTCATGGGCCGGTGGGGGGGGGCCCCTCCCGGGGGGACGTGAGCGGAGTGAGCGCCGCACCGGGGTTATGTGGGGTTGCGGTAAAGGGTGTGCGCGTGTGCGTGACGGGGCTGGGGGAACTGGACCGAAGGGCGTGTGTGTGAGGGTGAGGGCGTGATGCGGGGCGATAACGGCAAGCAGGGTAGAGGGGAGAGACTTCCAGACGACTTGTGTAATGGAAAATTAACCGAGGTAATGGTAGTGAGGGTGGTGAGGGTCGTTAGAAAGTGGCCTGCAAACCTCCCTGCGCCCCGTCAACACAGGCGGCCTGTCACTCCCTGGCCCCCTCATTTTGCATACTCAGCACACTCCCCTCCCTCACACATACACCCCCCCAAACTTACATTTTTAAAATTGCCCAGCACCTGCAGCGTCAGTGCCCCCAGCTTCTTGGATACTAGGAAGTTGGTCCAGTTGGCCAGGAAGGCGAGTCCGCAGGACAGCGCCAGCAGCGGTGCGAAGTGGGGGTGCGCCGCGTGCAGTCTAGCAGCCTGATGGAGGCTCCGCGGCTCGGTGATGGCGGTGAGCAGCGCCAACATGGCGGTGGACAAGGCTGAGGTGTAGGCCAGCAGGGTCATGGGGTGCAGCCGGTCCCGCTCGTCCGTCAGGAGCACTGCCTGCAGGTGATTGGGTGGCGCAGAGGCCGGCTCTGTGTGTGTGTGGTCTGTATGTTTGTGTGTCTGTGTCCCCTCCTTTCCCCTCCCCTCCCCTCCCTCCCCCTCCCCTCCCCCTACCTGCAGCACCGTTTTGAAGCTCCTGGCCAGACATGCCACGAGCTGCAGCACCAGGCCAAGCAGGTGCAGCTGGGGCTCCCCTCCGGAGGCGAGTACGATACCCACCACCACGGGCACCAGAGCCAGGTACGTTACTGCGGCCTCCCGCCTACCCTGTATGAGGAAGGCCAACACCGCCGTAAGGCCGGGAGTGGTAGAGCCTGCGGGGTGCGGGGAGGGGGTGAAGAGGGGGAAAGAGGGAGAGAGGGAGGGGGAAAGAGGGAAGGAAAAGGAGGGAGGGAAAGGGGGAATCAGATCCAAACGTCAAAAGGGCCAGCGGGTTGGGAAGGGGCAACACACGGCAACGGATGACACTATTGACTGCTGCTGTTGCTGGTTGATGAAGAAAGGGAAAAGATGGAAAGGGAAGTGGGAAATGTTGGGGAGGTGAGGGGGTTACGCAGGGATGTGTGTGTGGGGTGGTGATGGTCAGAAACCGCAGTTATCTTGTCTCTTTCTCCCCCCCCCCATTTCCCCCCTCACTAACAAGCTACCGCCCATTCGCACCCGCACCCTCACCTAGCGCCTGTACGAAGGAGGCGGGCAGGTAAGCCAGCGATGCCATACAAGTGGCCACCGCCAACGTGAAGGACGCGGCCAGCACCCCCACACGGGCTAGCAGATGAGAGCTCACCTGCAGAAGTAGATGTGGAGGCAACACAGCATAGCATGGCGGGGGGGGGGGTACGCGGGGATAGGCGGGGGGGTTGAGGGGCGAAACACACATCTCAACTGATTAACTGACTTGACAAGAAAGGGAAAGGGGCGAGGGCAAATAATTTAAAGTTCTAGAAGTATTATAAGGGTTTTCCATGTTTTAGGGTTAAGGGGGATTTTGTTGAAATGTTTTTTTTATGCTCGTTGCTACAACCTGCTCCCACCTCCCGCTTCCGCGGCACCAGCCCAAGCGCCAGGAGTGTGTTCGAGGCCGCGCAGCTGGACATCATGTGCAGCAGCGCCAGGAGGGAGGTGCTGTGGAAGCCGGTCTCCGATATCAGCCATTTGTTGGAAATGATAAGGCCTGCAGCATGGGGCATATGGGACATGGGACGGCGTAGGATGCGGCCTTCAGGTAGTAATATGAGGATGGACTGAGATTATCAGGTGTCATGTGGGATGGAACGGGCAAGGGAGAAGACGGTTGATTGTTTGGTTAGCAAAAGCTGGGCCTGCGGCATTAGTGCGGAGAACCGTGCGTTCTAGGTGGCCAGGTAATTAAGGAGGTAAATCACACAGATCGTGGAGGTTGTTGATGATGTCTCGCGATTAAAGCAACAACCACGTCCGGCTTCTGAAAGTGGCACTCGTACCTACCGACACTAATAGTATACCAAAACAGAATTAATACGACAGTCTCCAAGATATCTTTGCATCTTCGCACTTGGCAACAGGTAATCAAGGGCCAACAACCGGAGTCCTGAGTCCGCTCATTGCATATCCCATTGTCTGCTAATTTTGTCATTGTAGCATACGCCCGAAAACGTATCCCTGCATTTCAACGTGTGGCATATCCTATGTAGGTAGAAGACTTGACAACATCTCTTCGGGGCTCCATTTCCAAGCTGTAGCCCTTTTATGCAAGGAGCGTTCGTATTTGCAGGAGGCGTTCGTATGTGCAGTACTCCTATGTGCATGGGAAAGCAGTCTGCATACTAGAGAAATGACGTGAGACAACTCGTCCTTCAGTACTGCCCTGAAGACTAGGGGACGACTTACTTCGGCCTTGGGACTATACTACTTACGTACATTTTAACAAATCTATATAAATACGACAACTCATTACATTGCCGAGTAAAGATTAGATGTCATCTAGCTGGATCCCGGATGCCGCTCTTGTGTAAACCAGGTGTGATCAAGAGTTTATGCACCAACTCCGCATCGAGAATCAAGCTCGACGCCTAAGGTTTGCACATTTTCAATGTATATCCAGGCAACCATGAAAGAATCAAGGCAGCATTCGTAAGCTAGCACCAGTTACAACGGGCGTGCTGCTTCCACCGTCAGCATTGAGTCAATCAACAATTAAGTACACAACAAAAATAGCAGAGTTTGCCAAACTTGCAGCGCACCCAAAGCAGCCTTCCGATGGTTGCGGCTCCAGCACTGCGCAACAGAGGCCCCCCGTTGTGCCTTTTCGTCTCTCGACGAAAAGCAAAACCGCTCTACGCTGTCCCTACGGCACCCGGGCTGCCCCGAATCAATCCACGTTCCGTGATCCGGACATCTCTCACCTCCCCCATTCGTGCATCGCCTCGCCACCACGTATTCTTCTCCAAGGACTGTTCTTGAGTCAGCGCGATTGTTTGAAAGTACTGTTATCAAGTCTATCGCGCAGCTCCTCTGCCCCACCCTGCCCCTCGGCAGTCGCACCAAGCAAAACGCGTCGTTCCCCCAACGACCGCAGCTAAAGCCAACGGCTCGCCGCGCCACCGCTGCCGATGCCGCCACCGCTACCTTACACTGGCCTCTAGGCGATGACACCCTCCTTGTTGCCGTACTCCTCGCTCAGCACGCGGTCCAAGTGGAAGACACCATGGCCTCGACCCGCGCGGTGCACCTGGCTGACCAGTACGGCAGCCGCCTTCACATCCTTAGACTGCGGGGTCAGACAGCCAGGCATCCAGCCAAGCGGGAAAAGGAAAATGAGGATATCGCGGTGGAGCTGGAGGTCGAGTTTGCAGCAAGAGCCACATGTGATGAGCTACAATAGGCCACGAGCTACCGAGTGCAGGAGGGGATCTCCGCCGGAGGGGAAGATGTGTGGGTTTGCGTCTTCTGGGTGGGATGAAGCACCTACAACTCCCCACCCCCCAATCAACTGTACCCCGAGCGCCGAATGCGCACCCATCCGCTCACATCCACCCACCCATATCCTTTTCTTCGGCCACCAATTTCACTTGACGACTAAGGAACCCCGTGTTGAGCCTTACACCAGCCTTACAGCCCGGAGGACGAGATGACACAGGACGGCCAATACACAGACACACACACGTGTATCATTTGCTACTGATGGAGCAGAGAGTTGTCCGCGAACTACGGGGGCAGTTGCGTAAGGTTTATTGGAATGTCAGGGCACCCCTTTTTCCGGCAGACATTGCTGCAGACATTGCTCTGTATGTCTCTACTTCCCTTCCCCTCCCCCCCTTCCCCACCTGCTCATGCAGCAAGTAGTCCTCGATGAAGTGGGTCGCATCCGCGTCCCCCGCCGCCTGCGCCACCGTATGCAGCTCCCGCAGCTTCGTGAAGTTGAGCTTCTCTAGGCTCAGGGCTAGCTCCGTGGCGTGAAGCGCATCACCCTTCTCTGGGGTTGGGCGGGGCAAGAGATTGCACAGCGATTACACAGCGGGACAGAGGGGCAAGAGGGGAGAGAGAGAGAGAGATTATGGCCGGAGGGAAGGGAAAAAGGAGGGACGAGGATGAGGTTGTCGGGGGTTGTCGTGCAAGAGACAGGCGCGCACAGCAGCAGGCGGCCTCTCAGAGCGCCCCTAGGGTCCCAGACGCCCTCCCTCCCAGGAGGGACGGAGCGAGTAGCCCAGTAGGGGACCGGGGTCTGGTCAAATCGAACCACTGCCGAGTGAATCATGTATCAGAAATGGACCTTTAGGCCCTCCGGGGCAAGATGAACCACCCTCCAGGGGGGCCCAAGGTGGTCTGCGGGGGGAGGGCGGCGCCGCCGCCGTACTTTCCCCGGGGGATCCCTAGAAGGCAGCGAGAGACCCCAAAGCAGCTCCCCGCCTGCCGTACAAACCCGTACCACCTCCCGTCACGCACCCCACCCACCCGCATGCCAGTACTCGGTCTCCGGGGCAGCCAGGGGCAGCAGCTTCACCCGACCACCGCGCTGGGTCTGACGGGTGTTCCCGGTGTGGGGGTCAAGGCGGGGTGGGGGGGATGGAAGAGGGGGGGAAGAGTTAGGGAGGGAATGTTTGAGGCTGGGGGTGAGAAGATGTGTGCAAGGAGGGGAGGGGAACGCTGCAACGCACCAACCAACCGACAACCCGCTACTAAAGCGCAATGCATCACACCGATACAGACAGACAGACAGACACACAGACAGACACACACACACCGAGATACAAAGACGCACCAGCACCGCGCGGATTACGTTGCATCCCGTACACCCCAGCTACTGCTACACCGCACTTCCCGCACCCTCTCGCACCCCCTTCCCGCACCCCCTTCCCGCACCCCCTCACTTCACTTCACTTCACTTCACTTCACTTCACTTCACTTCACTTCACTTCACTTCACTTCACTTCACTTCACTTCACTTCACTTCACTTCACTTCACTTCACTTCACTTCACTTCACTTCACTTCACTTCACTTCACTTCACTTCACTTCACTTCACTTCACTTCACTTCACTTCACTTCACTTCACTTCACTCCCTGCACCTGGTAGTCCAACAGCAGTCGGGCGTGGTGACGTTCCTCGTCGCTGTTGTGACGGAAGTACGCCGCGAACCCGGGCAGGCCAACATCGTCCCGGGAGAAGAAGGCGTACATGGACGTGTAGATGTAGCTCATGGTCAGCTCAATGCTGTGCACGCCGTACGTACGGCCACCGGTCGCCGTACATGGCACGATTTAGGTAGGTACGGAGTTGTATCAGGAATGTATGTTTGAGGTGGTGTAGATGTATGCGCGCGGCAGTAGTGGCCGGGGGGCCACCAGGGGTCGAGCAAGGTGGCCGGGTGGGAGGCGGCAGGCGGGGGTGGGCAGGGCATGTGAGGGCAGGGCGGATGTCGAGGGTGTCAAAGGAGGCCAAGGAAGGGGGGTGGGGAAGCGGAGAGCGAGCTGGCGGAGGAGCCTGGCACGGTATGGGAAATCATATGCGGAGAAGCGGGAAGTGAACCCTGCAAAGGGGGAAAGACGAACCAATGCCGAACCACCTGGCAGCACATCTGCGGGGAGAGAGAAGAAGAAGGAAAAGAAGGATATATGATAGAAAAGGGAGAAGCGTACCTCCTGCAAAACAAGGAGGGGAAGCAGGCGCATGTCTTCCCCCTTAGCCCCTGTTTTCCCCCGGGGGCGGCCCCCCCCCCCCCACCCGCCAACCCCTTCTGACGGCGCCCCACCTGATTTGCTCGTTGAACGCCGCCTCCACGTCCACCGAGTAGCCGCTGCGAGCCATAGAGCGGGTGCCCGCACAGCCTGGCTCCGAAGCCGGGTTCATGAGCTGCTCGTCCAGATCCGCCACCAGGGGCCTCACCTCCTCGCCTATGGGCTGAAACACAAGGCCCGTCTGGGTGTCCGTCTGGGAGGCATGTACGGCACCGGCGGCGCCGGCGGCAGCCTATTGGGCGGGAACATGGTACTTTTATTGGACAGGATGACTGGCATCATGGCCTTTTGAAGTCAGTTGAGATATGGCAAAGATGAAGTTAGTCTGGTATGTTATGCGCGGAAGAGAATATGGGGTTGAATGCTATGCAAGTAGTTTTGGTTGAGCAGTAATGCAGTCTGTGTGCGGGACATGTCGTACGTACCTCGCGAGCCCGTGTCTCTTACCTGCTGGACTACGGGGTTGGAGGGGGAGGGGGAGGGGGAGGGGGAGGGGGCCGATGGAGGGGACGACGACCCGTCCTTCTTTCGATCATGCTGGAATCCGCTGCTACTGCCGCCGGTAGAGGTACCATCGGTGCCCTTGAACGGTGGCACGGCTGCAGCCGGCGGCAACACCCGCCTCCCCATACCGCTGAGCCACCGCCGCGGCGGCACCGCCGCAGCTGCAGACTCCGCAGAACCGATGAAGCCGCTCCGTAGCCGCCGCACGCGTGTCGATGGAGGCGCGGTGGCGGCAATGGCTGCGGTGGTTAGCTGCATTTCCTTTTCCTTAACAAGCGAACGGTTTGTTTTTGCGGTGTATGTAGAGTGAAGCCGAGTGGAGTCTTGGAAGAGTTCAGTGGACGCTGCGGCAGAGCCCGATGTTGAGGACGCGCGGAGAACGACCCGTGGGTCGGGCTGTTTGTGGGCCTCAAAAGGTTTGGGAATGTGGAAGTTGTGTTGGATATTTAGATGTATGTATGTATGAATGGGTGGATGCAAGCCGCGCAGGGCGTTGAGAGGCGCGGGACGATTGGGCCGCGGCTTTGGGGAGTGGACGCTGCAAGGGCTTATTTCTGTGCAGATTACACGCTTTAAAAGTAGAATGCGCCGACAATAGATTTCTTTTAGATTGAGGCCAGGGGGTGGCGCCGAGGTGGTGCCGTTCGTTGATGACGCAGTTTATTTTCTGTGTGGATCATCAGACTTGACGAATTGTGGCAACAAGGCAGCAATCTTGTCCGCTCTCGAAGGCCAATCTTTACACAAGATTTCCCACTTGCTCCGCCTCTCTCTCATTCGCTAACTTGGCTCTCTTCACCTGCCTTTGCGCAATACCCCCGCCCTCCTTGCGCACAAACGCGGAATAGAATTTTAGCCTTCACCACTTTTCCTCCGATAGCAGTAATCCGCCGAAAATCAATACTGCAAACGCGGGAAGCATCCCAAATCAACCTCAACAGAGTCCGTAGCCTCAAGACACTTCGTTACTGCCTTCCCAAAAACTTTACTCGAGGCAACCCATTCCTTCCCCATTTTCCCCATTTCGCAAAGAGCTTGCGAAAGGAGAGCCAAAGCAAGAACAGAAAGATTTGCCGTCCTGCGCTGACTTTTCAGCAAAAGAAGAATGCGGACCGGCAGCACCTTCCGGTTACTTGACTTGGCTCGAAGCCGAATTGCCAGCAGTCAAATATCCGACCGCTGCGGCCTCTTCCCCCGAGCTGCTCAGGTCCTCAGCGCCGACTGCCCGGCCCTCAGCTCCCCGGCCCCAGCAGACCCCAACATTTCGTCCTTCGCCTATCCGATCTCCTCTTCCACGTCTTCATCATCACCATTATCATCAATATCCCGCAACCAAGCGGTGCTGCTGCCGTCACGGCTCGATGCTTCATGGGCAACCCGTAGGCACGTTGCGACGCGGCGTTCATTCCTGGCCGTGGCGCATTCCACAAGTAGCGCCTGCTCGAGTCTGCGTCTGCAGCAGCACCAGTCGGAGTTTAAACAACACCTGCAACAGCAGCAGCAGTTGCTGCTTGGCCGGTCCTCAAGTTCCGCAGCGGCAGCAGGAACCGAGGGAGATGAGGTGAGCGATGGCGGCGGCTTTGGTAACATTCTGCGGACAGGTCCCCCAGGAGGCGGTGGCCGGGGTGAGGTGAAGGAGAGGGCTGGAAAAGGACTAACGAAGGGGGTTAATAGATATTGTTTATATTTTTATATTGTCGTACTCCTGTGAGGCATCAGGTCTAATATCGGACCATAACCATGTCGACTTGTGTTGGTGTGTCGGTTTTTCCACTTGAGGAAAACTGCAGTGCCCCTCCAAACATTTAGAAAGATGATAGGTAGAAACCCCTAGGACACTCCTCTAGGTGGGAGGGTTTAATGAAATTCTCACCTATATTCAGGATACCTGCCCCCGACTACGTCAATCCGAACACTTCATCAGCACAGCCAATCGATAGGAGCCACAGCTGGTGTATATAGAGGAAAACGTAATCATGCAAGCTGGAGGCTCATTCTTGAATACGATAACATCTGTACATAGCTCCTAGTACCAGTGTTGCCACCCAGTTTCGATCTGGGGACCTTCTGTGTGTTAGACAGATGTGATTCCACTACACCATGGCAACAGATGCTACAGGGATTATTGGAACTCAATATAGTAGTGATTCCGTGAAGTCGTAACAAGCTTTATCGTAGGAACCTGCGGATAGATGATTGAATCTATCAATATCCACACCTGTGTCTACGGACATCCGTTTGTACGGCAGAAATGCCGCACGTACACATTCTTGAGGAGATGTATGTGTGGAGTGATCCACCCAAACATCAGGCGTAGGCCTCTGCTAATTTGTTAGCAGAGTACAGTGTTGGCCGTTCTCCTAACCGACTAACCTTAACAACCCAATTACATCTGTTTGATACATCGAGAGAGCAGCTTAGAGCTGTGTCTCTCAGAAACCAAGACAACTCTCAACACCGTATATCTTTGCTCTTGGCCGCCCGCGTACCTGCATTAATACCAATATGACGTCCATGGCCCCCCCGGCATTTACGGACACACAACCGCACTTGCGGGCGGTAACCTAGGGCACTCTGTGCTCACCTCGGGCTCGTTCGTCATTCAAATCCATTCGTACACATCGCCCTGCAGCGCCATGCTGGTCCGTATACTCCTTTAATATATGTATTCTTCTTTTAGATGTGATGCCCAGATGCCGGAATGCCTCCTGCACATTTCCCATCCCTTCCCCCCCCGCCTCCTCGTCCCCCCCCCCGCCTCCTCGTCCCCCCCCCCGCCAACCCCCCCCCTTCACCTCACCTCCTAGGAGCGGTTCACTCCCAAACAGCACGACCTCACCTCCCAGCACCGCCACCACCACCACCACGACAGTGCGGCCTCCGCCACCCTCTGCCCCACCCTGCCCCAGGAACTTGCGCAGACGGCGCGCGAGCGGGTGGACCCAAACGCTGTACTGCAGGTACGGCAGGGCACGAAGACGCGCAATTTATCTCTCGCGCACAATCCAAAAGCGCCTTGTTACGGTTCCAGAAATGCGGAACGACGCGTTGTGGTAATTGTAATATTGAGAACAGGCAATTGTCATGATTCATAACCGTTTTAACAAAGCAACGGAGTCAGACGGCAAATTAACGGCTCCAAAACCAAGTCTCCTTACTCAGCCCACTTTGTTAGCAATGTACGGCTTTTCCTTCCAACTCACATGCATGCGCACACACACACACACACACACCTCTCCCCCTCCGATGATGGAGTGTTTCGGCGGTCTCCGGTTCCCCAGTTGGGGTGTACGGTTAGGTGCCCCTGGCTAGTGCCAGGCCCGAATCGATTTCTAACAGATATACACACATACATACACATACGTACACATGCACACCTGCTCTACCTGCTCTGCTGCTGTGGTGGCAGATGGTGGAGCACCGAGGGGAGGACTTCGACGAGAGCGCCGTGGTGTCGGCTCTGCAGGCGCTCGCGGATGCGTGTGAACGCGGTGCGTGCGGTCCAAGGGGGCTAGGGGGCTAGGGGGGGGGGGCCGATATGCGGGGGGACAGAGAGGTATATACGACTTGGTGCGCGCGCGCGTGTGTGTGTGTGTGAAAGTTATCTGGGTTATTATCATTATTACTATTATTCGTCAATGAGTTCGTTGGGCGGCTTCCTCGTCCTGATAGACCGCCCTCCATTCCCGTGTTCGCATATCTCCAACTTCCCCTTTTCCCCCCCTTCTTTACGGCTTGGCATTACTGCTTTTCTTCTGCGCTTATTTTAGTCTTGGCGGCTAGGTAGGTAGTTTTCCGACATCTTCTTCACTACGTCATCCCGAGGTCGCCGCCTTCAAGAACGCCTTTTGGTCAGTTCTACTTCTGGTACACTCTTGCCCTGGCAGCAGCTTCGATCGTGTGTGGTTCGTCTCCCCCCCCCCCCCCGCCGCGTGTCGTGTGAGAGGGGTATGAGGAGGGGTGATCCCCTTGAGCCCCCGAGGCGGCTTCCCCTTCTTGCCCACCGCACCAGCACCGGGGATCCTCAGAGTCGACCGC